CCTGGACAGTTTGAAAAAAAGTCATGGAACGACACTGGGATAACCGATAAAAACTGGACTGGACTACAAAATGGGATCAATATTAAAATATTCTGGTTTTGATCATACCAAAGTTCTTGTTCTTAGAAAACCCACTCAAATACTAAGGTGTAAGGGGGCATGCTATGTAACCTACTCTTAAACAGTTAAAAGCAAACGTGCAAGGTAGGAGTAAATGGGGCAAAATGTTAACTGTTTAACCCGTTAAGCTTATGGGTACCACTATCCTATTGTAATTTTGTTTCAAATGGTATAAAAATGTTACAAAAAGAAAAAGCTTAAGAACACCTTAAAGTGAAAGGACATATGAAACATTACTTCTAAGGGTACTGACTCACTTCACTGAGATGATCTAGCGCTATAGCTTATCTTGTTTCAACCCATGATCCTATTACTTAGTAATTAAATGGGCAACTTGTTTAATCAATGAAAAGGGACATGTCTATCTTTTCTGAAAATAAAGTTAAAACATCCATATTAACATTTTCAATGGCATCAAAGAAACGTAGACCTAAATTTTGCTATAGGCATAGAAGTTTGAGTAACTGAAAGTACTTTTCACAGCTGCCAAATTTCATCGTGTGATTTAATGTTTCCTCCAAGTTAGATACACACGAATAGCGACATTATGAGAACTGAGATTTGAACCACATACATTCCTCCAGTTGAAGCCTGACTGGTACCTTCAGCAAGTCCATATCCAGATCATAAAGGTCTTTTATACTGTTTCCTTATCCAACTATTTATGTCCTCCACAAACGCCTTTCTGCTTTTGTGTAATGATCTTTCAACAGCCATTTACAAATGGGTTCCCTACCCCAATCTATTCATCAATACTTGTGACCCCTCCAAAGGGCACTTCCAATATTGCCCGTTCCTTTTAAGGGCTCTGAAGCTGTTTCATCTACCTGCCATTCTCAGTCCTGTCCTTATGTCAGACTGTTCACTTGCCACTCCCATCTAAAGTCTCTGTTGTTTAGACTTTTACTCTTCCCAAAGCCTCAAACTCCCAAGACTGAGTCGGATATCTCAGGTAGGTGCTCCCAGAGCACCTTAATGCTTCCTCTTCAGCAATGGCTACACTGTAGTATAAAATTACTCTCCTCTACACTATGATTTCTTAAAATGGGAGTCCCCATGACTTCTGAATTTCCTGTACCTGGTACAGCTCCTACAATCTAAAATCAATTTGCAATGTGGACTGATGCCAATCTTCCAGCTCTTCTGCATATTTACCTATGAAAGACATGTATGGCTGCAGTGATAAATGGCCAAGTAAAATAGAAAAACCTTAAACCTCAAATGAGTTTACAACTTTGACGCTCCAGTTGGCCTCCTCACAATGAAGGGCTTGGTTGTATTAATCTCTTGGGACTTTCTCCACCTCCATTTTATTCTTCTACTAGTGCAGAAACCACCTCATGAGTCAGGTGCTTTGACTCAGATTTTGCATGGTATTGACACCAATTAACACTGCTCCGAACTCTTAAAACAGTATTACAAACATGTCTTCCTAATTTTGATCCAGATAGGTGTGCCTGGCAGGCAACAGTGGGAGTGCCTCAAAACCCCTCTTCAAGGGAAAAGGCAAAGGTAAAAAGTGGAATTAACAAATTCACCCTCCAAGGCGAAAAGGGGCAGCAATCAAACAACTGTTAACAGGTGGGCTCCAAAGTGGCCGAGTCTTCATTCTCAGTGTGTAATTCTAACCACTGTGGGTTGACAGTCTCAACCAACGGACACAGTGCATTTGGCCAACCTGAAATGTGTCTGGGACAGCCAGGACTCTTAACAGCTCTGATACTGCTCAACATTTTTGCATTATGTCCTCAAAACTGGTCTAACAAGTCATCGCAGAAAACAAATCAGTTTACTTCAACAGTATTACTGTTTGACGATTAAAAACAAACTGCAGACTGATTTAGATTAACTTAACGCTAGATTCACTGCTGCCTTTCACCATTTCAAGAAACCAGATTTTCAATATTGAACACATTCCAGAGAAGGTATGGAAATTTGGGATTGGGGGAAGAATCCCCCAAATACAAGCAATGTTATGGTCTCAGTCTCTTTAACAGGGGCAGCACACCTGACACATGGACTCTCTCATCTGATATTTTCCAGTGAATGTTAGATAGGGCTCACTAGCTTGGGTTCTAAAATCCTTTTGCTCAGTATTTTTATTGTAACAGAAGTTTATCATTATTACAGTATACTCTGCTTGAAGCATTTTAATAGTATATCAAGGACTAGTAAAAATAGGGAAACCTCAGTATTTGTTGATGGAGAATAGTGAAAGCAAACCTCCAAACTCTTATTGGTAGGGCTGTAGGAGCATGAGCACAACCATATGGGGAGGAGATAACCAGTCTCTCCCTTCACATATATTTTATTAGTTTGTTATACCTTCCCCAAACAGAGACATTCAACAGTAGTTAGAATGGCCATCTCCCAACATTTAAAAAAAACTGCACCCCCCCCAATGGGTGAACAAAGTAAGAGCAGTAACCTAGAGTTCAGCGGAGTATGCCACTGTGGAGCCTTAAGTGGTGAAGTCTTCCGATTTCAGAGCATGTCTTCAACTTGTATCATCATGTTAGTGGAAAAACAACATAATTTAATTTTGATGAAATGAGATTCATATCCCGACAGGATTAGTAACAGCATTCACTGAATTTCACATTCTTCTTTTGTGAACTGTGAAGAAAATGAATGGTAGCTAGGAGACCAATGGTATTCCAGCTCCAGCTGCAGATGGAATGACAACATACCACGATAAAAACACCTCAATTTTGATTTACAAAGCTAACAGCAGTTTTAAATCTGCAACTTACAGACCAACTACACCACAACCTTTTCAAATGGCAAAAATACAAAAAAGTGTTACAAAAATATTTCAGAAAAAGTGCATAGTCTAAGTGCATAGTAAATAAAAGCACTGAAAAATATTTTGCTAGAGGGAGTTCAGCTTGGAAGTTATTACCAAAGCTAAACATTTTTATTTTACACTAACTATACTCAAAAATAGCTTTATGAGACTGATTTCTGGCTAAAAGTATCAAAGGGTTTATTAGTCAAGAAACAAATACCTTAACTGACATGGGTGGATATAAAAGAAAGAAGCTGCCTACCCCAGAAGTTCACACTCATTGAGATTTCTGCAGTACAATGGTGCTATTAATATTCTTTATGACAGAAAGTGGTAATCATGGAATTAATTATTGCTAAAGTACTTTTCAAAAGAAAAAAAGGTAACAAATGAAATCTGACACAGTCTGACCGAACACGTGTCAATTTACAGTTCCAAGGTTATTTTACAAAATACCTACATTTACACAATAAGCTTCTGGCAGCATTTTCAGACAAAAGTTCTTTTAATTTGTCTTGACATAAGTCAATAATTTAGGTTATTATTTAAAGAACTGTTTTTATCTTGGGTCAGAAAGAGAAAACAGCTGCATATAATATTTAAAGCAGCAAATTAACTTGTAGAAATGGGTGGAGGCCGAGGGATGATCAGCAATCATAGGAACCTCACTGAGGCTCTCCAAGTTTGAGTTAATCTGCTCAAAGCCATTAGTAGAAACTTGAAAAACTTCATTTGTAGTTAAACCCTTTAATGCTTTCATTGGTATTCAAAATCAGTCCAGCTGTTAGTCCAAGGCTGCAGGAGTGACAAAGCCAGAGTCCTGGCAGTCGCAGCTCTAGACACTGTGCCTGCAAGGCATTTAAAAGAAGAAAAATGAAAGAACGCCTTTCCCCTTTACAACTAAAAAAAAAAAGATTTAAATAATTTGAGTAAAAGTTGTAACACTAAACCTAAAATGATTTGTAAAGGAATATTATGCAACAAATGGCCTGAAGTAGTCTATTAAAAAACTGGGAAGATTTTTGATTTCATAGTGAGTCAGCAAGGCATTTTGCTATTTAAAAAAAATCTCATTTCCTTACAGAACGTTTTTAGTTTTTAATGAACTTGTAAACAAAAAAGCTCCCATTTCAAAATAAAAACAAAATCCCAGGTCATATAGATGTTTATAGTGATTACATTTATCTAAGCAACATACATACATGTTCAATTTTAAGATGTTAACTAAATTTCTGTGACAAATATGCATTCTTTTAAATACCAGAACATTATAGTTAATGCAGAGTCCTAAGGATATTCTAGTAGTCACTAAGTTTTTCTTAAGTCTTCACTTTAGATGCTGTTATTTCTAGCACAGGTAAGCAGGCAGAGTCTTTCATATGCTCAAACACTGGAATCTTTGGTTGCTACCACAACAGCTGGCTTGCGAACAAAGAGCCGGCCACTTTTAGAATGTTGTAAGTGAACAACTTGCAAACCCCAGGGGTGAATAAACCCTAAGAATGCACAATTGTGAGCATTTACAACCATCACAACTGTGGCTGAAGACTGTTCATGCCATTCTTCTGAAATGAGATCTCAAACAGCAGTGTAGTTCAAAATAAAATATTTCAACAAAAAATTGGCATATGCACAATTTCTCCACCAATTTGTGTGTCAACCATTTAGTTAACTTTTCCACTTGAAAAAATGCAATAGAAAACTGGACACCATGTTTCACTATCTCAGTTAATATTCACAATTACAGCGGCTACAACTCAGGACACAGCATCACCAATGCTGTCCAGAGCCAGTTTATAATGAAATTAAGTTCTTTATACCAAGTAAATGGTTGTCCACAACCACTGGCTAGTGTACATGTGAACTATAATTTCTAGATTTGGGGAGAAACAAATGCTGCTCCAATCATCTGCTCTGCTTCTTCTGTTCCTTGATTCATGCTTAGAAACCTGTTTTAAAAAATCAAAACAAAAAACAATGTTAAAATTCCAACTTAAAAAACTTAAAAAAAAAAAGAGAGAGAGACTACACCCAAAGTAAGAGATTGGGTGGAACTGGGCCAATAATTACTTTAAAATGGTGATCCATGTTGTTTTCATCTATCTGGAAAGCACTGGCTCAATTTTTTAAAGCCTAAAAAATTACCTAACTTTTGTTATGGATGCCACTAAGTGGGAATGGTATACAGCACATTAAAGCCTCCCCGTCAGCATAGTTTTCAAGCTAGAGAATTACTGGTAATTCCAATGGGCCTGGTTTGTTTACTTCTGTAATTCTAGTACCTAAACATTATTATATATTCAAATATTTGTCAAATGAACAAAAAATAGATTGCTTTGCCTTAACTAGAAAGCATAGTTTTAATCATGCTATGATCAAGAATCTTTCCATACATTATTTCTGTTACAAATGAATTTTTATATTAAGTGCATTCAATGCATAATTATGAATTATTCCACTGAACATAAACCGAATAGATGACTTTAGTACAGAAACCTCACACCTTTAAAATACTTCACTGCCATCAGTTACATTAAAAACATGAGGTTTTGTTACTGATCTGAGAATGTAAACAAGTGAGGCTTTTTTTACACTTCTCAAGCCTTCCCCCTCTAGAAACACTCCCTACCCCCACCCACAATTAGAGCCTAGGGCTTCTACATAAAGGCAGGTTTTAAAAGAAAGTAGCTTCAGGTAATAATCGCTGCATGCTTTGTCTATGGCTAATGGCAACCAGAGGAAATAGAACTCCTCTCAGCAGTAACATGAAAATCCCACCAGTACCCTGTTCCCACACCTATAGCCCAGCTTTAAGGCATCAATGCCCCTTGGTCCACCCACTTGCAACTCTTACAGCAGACCTAATTCTAGCTCATTCCAGCCCACTCTGTCTTACTTTTAGCACAAACTATGTTTTTGTCAATCATAAGCTGCTCCTTTTCTTGGGCTACTCAAGCATTTGTTGGACTATCTCCAGTAGGCTTTATGGATAAATAAAATGCTTCTGTAATTTACTTTTCATGCACATATGCCCTTGTTTTTCCTAAGACAATACCAATCATTTATATATAATTTCTTGGTAAATATTCTCTCACTTGCTAACTAGTTTTTTCACTGACGAACAAAGTCATCTTCATTTGAAAAATTTTTTGTGCTAACCCCCAAGGACAATGGGGCAAATGCTATATGTACTTCTGTTTGTTCATAGTGCCTATCAACAGAGCAGGTGCAAAATAAACCTTTGATGCCTGCCAAATACTATGTCTATACAGAAAATGCTAAAAATGAAAGACAATGAAAATTTCTGAAAATGTACTTCACCACAAGAGATACTATCTGTTTGATGTACATTATCAAACAGGATTAGCAAGGTAAACATAAAGAGAAAAGGCTGTCCTATAAAGCCTGAATTTAAATATCTGATCATATTCTATAACCTAATTCCAAAATTTTAAAGCAAATTAAAACCATGGCTTAGCTAAACAAAAATGACCATTACCTCTCACGCCCCACCATGAGCATTTGGTTTCAAGTCCTGCAATTATTCTTAAATATGATACAAAGACAAATTTCACAACTACTAAAATTGTTTTTTATCACAGCTTGCTTGTGCAATTACATTATATTACTACATCAAATACCCAAACAACTTTAAAATGGAGACCGCTGTCACTAACAAACTAAAAAGTAAACATGTTACATTGTCAAAATACTAGAAAACTCTTGTATCTTTAATAGAAGTAAATATTATATCTAGATAAGAATTATATCTGTTCATCTTTTAATCTAATATTTGGGGAATTGCTGGGTCAATTCATGATTACAATTGTTTACGGATTGGTTAAAGGCTACCCTAGCAATACTCCTGGTAGAATAAAGCAGTCAAATCCAGATTTAACTCTTCAGATTGGTCAGTGGTAGGATACGCTATCCAGGGATCAGTGTTTCTCCACTGAATTGTCTTAAGACATTACTGAAGTTTGCTTAAGGAAAAATCTCAATAGGAACGTTCAGCAGGTATTCAATGTTCAATCTTCAAGGCTAAGCATTCTTTTTTCCCTGGTGTGCATTAGTTCTTGGTTTTTATTTTGTAGTTTAGGTGATGTCTCCTGGCTTCTCAAAGTCCGAAAACCAATCTTCACTGTAATAGTGAAAATAAGGAATAACTTCCTTTGTTCCTAAAAAAGAGGGAAAAAAATGTTAAAACAGGGTTGGAGGATTAATGTGATCATTCAGGAGTTAATAGCTACATTTAAGTTTCTTTTCAAATCTGCAAAAGGAAAAACAAATTTTTTTATTTTTACACAGCCTGGAGATTTTATCTCTCAATCTGAAAAGTATGTTCTGCTTCTATTTGTGAACTAACTTCTGAGGTCCCTGATATTAAAAAAAAAAAAAAAAAGAAATAGAACCACAAACTAGCTCAAAAGGATATTTATGTAGTAGCAAGGCTTAGAAGTATGACATGGACTTTGAAATATAGGATCCTTTAATACAGTACATGACGTAACTTTTAAAAAGCAATTCTGAATATAATATTGACATTCACTACGCAATACCATTTAACTTTTCCTATACATTCTTGTGGTGGTTTTTTTGGCCCACAGAATCAGAATCAAGCCTGGAGAATTCTGAATCACACTGGCAGTATAAAAATCACAGAAGAAAAACAAAACTAAAATAACTCCTCCTTGACAGAAACTAAAAAAATATTACATTGGGAAAGATAAAGAATAGACTTTTTATCATTACAAGTAAGGTAAATGACAACTTTGGTATAGGAAGTACAATTCATCCCTAAACTGCATTTAAGAACAGACTGGTGATCTGATTTTGCCTTCCCTATCACAGAATTCATTCTGCTACAGATTTCTGAGGTTGTTGAGTTTAAAAATACCTGTTACAGTTGATTCCTTCCCCAACGGGGCAGCATGTCTGCATTATACACCACTGTATCACAGTGAACACTATACTCTCTTCTTCAGGGCTTCTGACTGTTGTTATCATCCAAGTTGAAAAGTCTGATAGGTCCAGCAAGCCTTGGAGACGTGGGCTTCAGATCACGACAAATTAATTCCTGCCCACTCATCATTTCCTGTTGGGTTATTTAGTTCTTTTCTGTCCAGCTTTATTGTCTGCTGAAAAGAGCTGACAAAAATGTCATCAAGCAGATGCAGCTCCCTGGCACTTCTCTGGATTGAGTGTATTCAGAGCAGATCAGTCTTCTCCAGACATTTCATGGTCTTCCCCTGTGATTTGGATTACCTTGCTGAGTGACCAGCCACGTTCCTAGCAGCAATTGGTGAAGTCAGAAAAAATTAAGCTAGACATAAATGGTAGGTGAAGCCCAGTAAATACTGGAAGGCAATTCAAGAGAGTCCATGAACATGGTAGGATAATGTAATGGAAAAATATTCCTCATGTCTTGGATATCAACAATTTGACATCTGTATATACAATTACGATAACACAATGCTTAGTATTGATGGCTGGAGTAGTAAACAGATGGGTTAAGATGATGAGAAAAGAATTATGTGAGGATCCACCTTTGGCTTCACTGCCTTCTGAAATTCTCCCCATCTCTGCCCTCAATGAAAGAAGTGGTGAACTTAATTGGATTCTCAATACCCTAAAAATATTTCCTTTTCCTTTCCTACTTCTTAAATGTTTTTTAAAAAGTACTTTCCTAATTATTACATACAGTTGAAGAAAATAAGAGTGAAATGCATTTGGAAGTGTATCTAATGTCTTTTATTTTTCTCTATACCATATGTAAAAATAATAATCATCTTGTGGTATGTGAGCACTTAGAAATAATATAGATCACAGCAGACATTAGGAAAGATGCCTTGTGCCATCATTTGGGGGAATTTTTCCAAGAATGGATATTCCTATAGTAGAGATCTACTGGCTAAAGATTCATTTAAGAAACTGAATTCTCTGACGTGGAAACCTCTGAAAGTGTAACTCCATGAATGACTATGTTTAAAAAGTACCTTCTCAAATTTTAACTAGAAAAAATTAATATGGTATGACCATCACTGAACGGATTTCTTGGAATCCAAGCAGTGAGTCGCTGAGATGCACAAGCTCTTCCTTGAGTGAAAACCAGAGCACGCCCTGGGAGAGCATGCTTTAAACACCCTTCAGTACTTAAGAGATTGGAATCAGGAGCAAGAAACCTAGAGCAGTTGTTTTCTGACTCCAGACTCCATAGATTTCTTGATGACCAAAATAATAGGGTTAAGGGGTAGAAGTCAGGGGAATAGGCTCCCCATACTTACTTTGTGCCACCCTCAACTTTGCTAATACTTCTATGGCTTTATATGTTGGGGTTTTGTGTCAGATTTGGTTGGGTTCTATATCCAAAACAAAACAAATGCTTTCAAGAAGTCAATGGTCAAAAATATTTTTGTTTTTATTCTGTGAAGTGGCACATTTTATTAGCAATACTTTGCTCAGAGTCAAAGTGTACCATCCGGAAGTTCATCTCTGAAAGTAGTCAGTCAATGAAATGATGTGTTTCATAAAGTCCATTTTCAAAAATTTTCTAAGTCTGTGTTTATATAATAATTTGTATAACCCCTGTGTCTAGTAACATGAAATTTTCTAAGATTTGAAGGTGCTTTTATGAAAAGTAGCTACAATACAAAATAAGGATTAAACTTAAGTTTAATTACAATTTTTTTTCCAAGAAACATACTAACTCAGGATAGAGATCTACTGGCTAAAGATTCATTTAAGAAACTTAATTCTCATCTTCTTCAACTTCTCATCTTTAAGACCTGGATAAGGCAGGACAAAAATTCTACTTGTTTATTGAGTTAAGAGACACACAGTAAACTAACAATGAACTAGTTCAAAATAAGCTAAATCTTTCTGATGGCTGCTAAATGTCTGAAGTGAAATGTTATAGGTCAAATGAGATTTCAATCTAATTTCATTTCAAGAAACTACAATGTGATGATCCTACTATCCCAGCTAGCTTTAGGCAAAAATAGGTTTATTTTGTGGGAAAAAGAAAATACAAGTGTCAAGTGAAACAAGTCCTCAGTTAGGATGCTCTATTTGGTCTCACCTAAATGGCAGGATCATTTCTCAGTGATGCTAGCAATGTACCTCATTTAAGAATTCCTTGGCATTACAATTAGTTACACAGTGATTCAAACACTCTAAAGGGGCAATTAAGTCCAACTGAGATGCAGAGGCAGAGCAATGGGCAGGCATTAGTGTTCGCTAACCTGAGCTGAAATTTCTTTATCTAAGAACCCCCACTACATTAAACCTGCAATTAATTTGTAGAAACCCATGGAAGAGAGGCACCTCAACTTCACTCCTACTGGATGAGCTGCTGGGATGAGGATATCAGTTAAGTATACTTCTTTGTAAAGTATGCTCAGATTAGAGTCTGTTTTTAAATCACAAAATTGGTTAAATACAACACTAAAAATACGGACCAAAGACAACCAAGTTCAGACTAGGGCAGTCGTTCATTAATTAAATTAGAAACCAAAAACCAACCCTTACCTGCCCACCACTTCCAGAAAGTAGGCAGGTATCAGGAGGTCACCCCCATAAGGGGGTAAGAAAAACAAAAAACATGAAGCACAGGGGTCAAACTGCATGGCAACAGTGGTTAAGAAATAGACCTGTGCCGTAACAGTTCCACCCGTCAGTCGCAGTAAGAGTGCCGAGAAAGACAGAAAGGAAATAAATTAACAGTTCAATGGCATTTACCCCAGTTCTCCCCCGACCAATTTGCAAGGCCTAACTTCAGAATTCAATTCTACAATGGACCCCTAAACCCTTAATATTTGCAAGATCTTAAAAAATAAAGTGAAATACAAAAGAATCATTTTGAAATTAAGAACATATATAGTTCAACAGCCATTAAAAAAGATTCATTTTTGTGACTTGGGAAGATGTGTCGAGCTTTTCAGTTACTTGAGCACTAAAGAGACTAAATGAGATGCTCTGAAACTGAGAAGATAGACACTTTGGGGGCAATGCCAGACTCACCTCTTGAAATTATATCATGTTCACAATTTTGAATTTTAAATGCTAAAGCATTAACATGCAGAAAAAAATTCATAACAATGTTAGTTTGAAAAAATGTCAAAATTCCCTGGCTAACCAGATTCATTATTAAAAAATCAACAAGTGTTAGGTCTAGGATTTTGGACTGATTGATCAATTATACCATATTCCCAACACCAATTGTTTATTTTGGAAAGGGTTAAATGAATGAGTAAAAAAAGATGCAGTTGTTAAAAATGACCCAAAATCCCAAGAGAAATGATATAATATATATACACATATATGTATATACAAATACATATACATATATATATGAACAAGGACATTTGGGTTTAAAGTTAGTAGTCAAATTTTCCAAGGACGTCTTTTTTCAAAAACAGAGAGCCAAATTTTTATGTATTTTAAAACCACCTCCTCAATCTAACACTGTTAGAAATAAATGAATAACCCAATTTTTTGTGTTCAATTTTTTTCCCCTGTAACGTCACTTGGTTCTTGGCTACTAACCTTTCATGTTACTCTTGGTTTTGTCAGTTTGCTTGCCTGTGGGGGTTTGGGCCTGCTGACCCTGCCCACTTGAAGAGGCTGCCTGCTGAGCTGCTTTCTGCTTTAACATTGTCCAGTCAAATGTGTAGTCATATTGGTGGTTCAGGGTCCTGGAAAATAGAAAATTATGTGTGTTAACCCTCCCATAACAGAGTCCAGTTAAATTCTCTACTTAACTTTCAAGACAGTGAGAGAATTTTTTTAAGGAAACAAGTATTTTCTCTGAAGTGTGGTAGCCTCCAAAAGATTTCTTTCCTTATACATGATTTCTTATTTTAACTGTTCAGCAAATGAATTCCACTTTTTACATGTTACAATTGGAGGAAAATGGTGTCACTGTTTTGGTTTTTGGTCTACTGTATCAGTAAGAATAATCTTCTCCTTCTTCAAAAAGAAGCTGCCTTTCAACTTCCCTGGACGGGGCAGGGTAGTAGAAATGAAAGGCAGTATGAACCAAAGACACTAAAAGTCACCCTGTCAATTATCAAGGGGGATACTCATAGTAGGTATCACCTACTAAAAACACATCAGAGTAGGTTTGGGACTTTTGAGTTAGTTGGGGAAATTTCTATGCTGGTAGTTTGCAATCACTTTTCTGGGGTTAGAGGAATACAATACTCCAATTCCTACTCTCTTCCAACTAAGATTTCGAGCCAAGGGCACACTAGAGGCTGGGCCTACCTCCACACTATCATAGACTCCATAATTATAAGATATTTTCATTGTTTTTCATTTTGATATTAATTAGGGTTCTGTACAAAGGCTGGAGTGTTCCAAGGGCAAACAACAGATCTAATGTGAATTGCAATTATTGTAGAAAAGCTAGCTTCTACTTGGGCTTTGGTTCAATCATTTCTCCATCCAAAACTAAAGTAACTTCAAATTTATTTGCACTACAAATGGGAAAATGCCAAACGAACTGTTTCTTATTATTTTACTCCTGCTGGTAGGATCCATCAAACTTTGCTACTTATCAGAATTGGTATATTGGGTGGGTTTGACTAATTTCGCTCATTGGCCTTTACAGTCTTAAACACCTTAAAAACTGACCTGAAAAGAATGCGGAATAGCTGCCTCAGGTACATGTAATCTGGGGCTTCCTCAAAGCGCAGCCCACGACAATAGTTTAAATACATGGCGAATTCTGCAGGAAATCCCTGTAAGTTCAAGAATCAAAACATCAAGTAAAAAAACCAAAAACTTTTTTTTAAACAGAAAAACAAATATATTTAAATGCAAGCAAAAAATGTGTTTGAGGAGTGTTTTACTACTTCACCAGATCTGAGAAATAAAGTATAAAATGATTTGGTAGCCTCAAATTTAACAGAATTTCATCATCCCAATCTCTTTATTATGTATAATAATACATAACATTGGTTAAGAGTGAATTTGCATCCTTTTCTTACAGTCTAGTAATTCGATGGCAATAATAAACAAATGACAAAATGGAGGCCAGTAACACAGAAGAAACACATTTGGGGTTGGAGTACAGGTTTTAAGTCAGGCATATGATTTTGAAATACCTATAATTCATTAAGATAAATACACTGGGTTGGCTCTTAGAATAGGAGTATAGAAGGAAGTTAGAGATTTGGAAGTTTTAATAAAGGTTTTTTTGGTATGCTTGTTTTAAATCTGTTCTTGCTTCCTTTTGTGAACATACCCTTTTCCTACGTTACCGATTCTGGTTTGACTATCAGCCAAAGGGCCTTGCTTTCCCTTTCAGGATTGAGAGTCCGTGACCAAATGTCATGTCAATCAAAAAACAAAACTATGTACTGGTAAGGATGCTGGGAGAAAGCAGGTCATGTTTTTCAGTGTCATCACTAGCTGTAAGAACAAGCAAGCCCAGAGTAACTGATGGCCACCTTTGTCTCCATAGAGGCAAAGTCTGCAAATGAAGCTAATACAGAAGAAAACAGCTAACAAATTTAGAAAGCCAGACAACGTTCTTTGCCAGAACAGGACAATGAATGGGCACTTTCTCCACTCTGAAATAATTTTTTTAAAAAGGACATAGTCTACGCCTATATAAACAGAAAAGTAGAATCATTAAGAGTGCAATCATAAAGCAACTATTGTTGTGATACAGATCAATCCAATGTTTCATCATGTGAATAGAGTAGGTTTGTCTTCACTTCTCTGTTATCATACTGCAGTCATAACACATTCTGCTTTATTCCATCAACTATGTATTGCAAGCATACTTCTGTTATTTCCAACCTTTCATAAGCTTCTGAATAGCTGCATAATATCTGAACTCATGAATATATAACTAACCTGTTCTCTGTAACTGAACATCTGAGGGATTGCAATTTTTCCTCTACTATAAACAATACTAGTGAGTATGTTTTACTAGTATGTTTACTAGTAAGTAAAATTTATGTTCAGTTTCTTAAGATTCTCAAAGATGTATATAAACATTTTAGAGGCTATAGATAACCTCTAACCAAAAGAATTTTGCCATCAGGAATGTAGAAATGCTAAGTATTTAGACAACAAAAACCTCTACATCTCTACCCTCAAATAATGCAGATGTGAAGAGAAGTTAAGAGAGGCAGTCTTCTTTAGCATCTTACTATGCTGATGACAGCAATGGGGGAGAATGAGGGGGTGAGAATGCGGGGGTGAATGCTGAAACCACAATGTTGTTCATGTGAAACCTTCATAAGACCATGTATCAATGATACTTAAAAAAAAAGAAGAAAGAAGAAAGAAATGGGAAAAAAAGAGGCAGTCTTTTCCCACCACCTTACAATTTTGAGAAATTTCTCACATCCACGTCAATGGATATGCTTGCAACATGTATTTTTATTGACTGCACTGATATAAACAGATTTAATTTCTACAAAGCACTTCTATGAGGTAATGAATGTATTGCACATTTTTGTTTTTGTAAACTCTTAACAGGACTTCAAATTTTTTAATATACACTCATGGTCTGTATTAAAGGTAAGCCACATTTACCAAATGAACTTGCATTTTATATTATTACAAATGGAATTAAACAACCACAACTGAAGATCCAATAGTGTACTTCATGAACTGCCACCTTGTAAGAATAGGTAAAACCATAACAAAAGAAAAACTACCAATATCGTAAGTTACAGATTAAGTACTACCATTGGACCATGAGACTGAAAACAATCTCACTACTTAACAGTAATACCTTCACTATACCCTGAATCAATTATATGTGGCTAATCCAGTTTACAACTGCTAGATCATAATGAAGATGTACACAAGCAGACAAAGATGTAAAGTCTTCCTTTCTCTTCCTGTAAAACTTGCTGACTTTTCTGATAAGCCAAATGAATCTTACCATTACATGGAAATAGTGTATAGAAAATAGGATGTTTTGCTTCCTGAAGTACACAGATTTTAAAGTTACTTGGGTATGCTATATGAACATTTTATTCATTAACCTGAAGTGTATTTCATGATTTGAAACAAACCCCCAAGAGTCTCAGAAAAGATCCCCTCCTTTATTATAGATACATAGAAAAAGGAAAGCAAATTTGTGGAAGGGGAGATACATAAAGACATCACCATTTCCCCACTTCCACAAAGTACTATTTCAACTCATGTTGATTTCTCCCTTCTATGCAATTATATACTATTTTTTAATTACTTCAGGAATGTAACTATTATCTCAAAGATGAATGTGGTCTGCTTTCTATGGAAGAGACCATATTTATCCTTTATGACAAAAACACCACCCCACTCTTAACTCATGTGTCTCTCTGTGAAGTTTGAAATTTCAAAGAAATGAGCCTGATTCAAACTCATCTACATCTTCCGACATTTGCTATTTTGGATGGTTTTGATCTGCCTGTCTTTGTTCCCTAATTCCTTGATGTGCCAACTGCTGATATCCTTTCTTTTCTGGCAACAACTAGGGATAAGGAAAGTATTTCTTAATTTTTCTCCTAAGATGGTGAGGTTCTAAAAACTTCATCTGCCCTCTTACTTTTTCTCTAATTTTTAAATATTACTGGGGCCCAAAGAAACCAGAAACAAAACAAACACTTAAATGACTCCCATGTTCCAGCCATCTTTAAAGATACTTAGAATTATTAGAAAGGACATTTAAATGATAAATAACTAGCTATCTAGTAAGATGTCCAAGTTCCAGGGCTGGCAAATAAAATGTTTTTATTCTTGTCATTTACATTTAAAGCAAAATAAAACAAAAACTCACCATGCACACTTACCTTACATAAAACTTCAACAGGAGTGGACATTTTCTTTTCACTAATCTTTTCATATTTCTGTTTTTTTGTTGCAGCCTGTGAGGAAAATAAGAATCAAACCACACAGACATACTCAAGATTACTGAGAACCTTACTAGCTTAACATTTTAAACATAAACTTGAGAAACCATAATCTAGAATAAAAGAGAAATCTAAGTATATCACATCTAAAAATATTTCCCCCTAAACTCTTAATTTTTATGAGTTTCTACTTTAAGAACATTTTTACCTACTAGGGAAGGGTGAGTCTAACAGGAACATCAAGATATATGATTTAAGTAAATTTGGGTGGAGTGAAATTTGAAATGAATTTTCGTAACCCATATTCAACACTCAAGGAAGGAATAAGAGGAAAAAAACATCAGTAACTGGTGTTAAGTAAAAATATTTTTCCTATGTAAAAATATTTCTAAAAATATATATATACCTACACAAGCACTGAACAGATTTGTCAATTTCACAAGTGCTCAATGCAGGGACCATTTTCCTTTAAAGGACCAATAAAGTATCAAAATAGTCATTAGATTCTAGGACATACTGATTATTAACACACGAACACAAAAGTAATGCTGAAACTCCTATGTAAAAGAAACAAGATGTTACAGTAATTAGATAATAGATTAAATATTACTGGAAAACGTTACTTTACTGAAGTGTGTATTTCAACACACTGGCAACACATCAAAAGAGAAAGTCTTCACTGTTCTTAGTCTGTATCAACTTCCATCCAGATAGAGGTACTTACTGGTCACCAATGAATACCTGCTCACTGTCCCAAAACAACTGTTCGGCTGTGACTGTGGGATCCTATTAACTTATTTCTTATGAAAACGATCAGATTTTATTTTCACAATAAAAAGTAAAAATATGTTCAAGTTAATTCACTCTCAAAAACCCTCGTATTTTGAAAGAGACCTTAAAAGTCATCTCCAGTATGTATTTTTACTCTTAAAACAAAAGAAAAAACTGCTAACATGAGTATGGTTTACCTTCAGTCCTTGCCATGGCAGGCTGGTTCTATTAAAATACATCAAAACATATCCTAATGATTCCATGTCATCTCGGCGACTAGAAAAGAAAATGTACATTTATGAGCTAGGATTATTATGGAAAACATGTGAAAGCTAAGAAGAAATTTTTCCAAGAGAGAAGAGAGAATTGGTGTCTTGTGCAAGACGGTAATTAGTTAAGGCAAAAAAGAAGTTCATGAGTTACTTCTAACAAAATTTTCTCATAGAATCCAAAATTATAAAATCCAGCAGTCTTACAATTTAATTTTTAAAGAAAAATTTAAAAGATTCAGCTAAACAACTTTCCAAATGAGGTTAATGATGGTGGAAGAACCAAGTAGGACATATAAGATTTGTGAAGTTCTTAAAAAACTTCAGGACTGCTGAAAGAAATTAACATTTTAAAGCTAATTAAACATTTATATGAATATACACACACACATACATACAAATTCAGACACATAGATTTATTTAAGGACTGGCAATACTTTGGCCTACAGGAAATGTGAAATTATAGCTTAACCAGTAGTATTCAGATATTCATGGGTATTTCGGTACTTCCTAAGCTTAAACCTGGAAGAATATCACTTGTTATTTTTACATTTGTTTTAAGGAGCAAAACTTGGTTGATAAAAGATAAAGGAAACATGAAAAACTAGAAAAAAATAGAGAACAGAAGAAATAGAGCATTATAACAACATTTATGTAAAACAAGTTCCTATTAATAGGAAGGAGTGGAAGAGTAGAATATGAAACGGTGCACCCCCTTTTGGTTCACATGGGCTGATAGTATTTTCTTTGTAAAAATTACTAAAACCTTCTTCCCCAATATTCAGCTTACATCACTAAAATATAAAAAGCCCAAGTTCATCATTAAAATATAATTTTCAGCTTCAAAAATAAACATCAAGATAAAATTGAATTTATGCTTCTAACTTTCCATCATGCAACATTTTCTCCCCAAGAGATAATCACCAACCAAGAAAACAGAAGGCCTCAATTTAATTGCTTCTCTGCACTGGCTAAAGCAATAGCTATGAGATTCATGAGTATCCTTCAAATTCTTTAATATCTTTAAATATTATAAGAAACTATAGTATTCCCAAAACCCATTAATGGCTTTTGCTATGGAATTGATAAACACATTCAATTTTCAAACTTACCTCTGTTCAATACCAAGATGTGCATTGATGCTGGCGTATCGGGCAGTGCCAGTGAGATTTTTATCTTCTCTGTATGGTATGTGTTGCCTTGTCCTGTTGTCTCTGTACTTTTTGGCCAAACCAAAATCAATAAGGAATAACTTTAAAAGAAAATAAGGAGACATTAGGTTTCCAACCTTGTTCAATTAAACTACTCATTAAGTGGCATCTATTCTATTTTTTTCAATTATATCAAGATAAAGTATCATAAAGAAAAACAAGTAACACTCCTCATGAACAGGCTTTTACTAGACCTCATCAATAATCAAGTTTAAAAAATACAGTGAATTTATTGCACTTGTCTAGCTTGGATTAACACATAGTCTACAGGCACACACCTGATCATCTACATTTGCTCTCTTACAACACTAAACTATGTTTTCTACCTTTATCTTGCATCTACCTACCACTTCAGCATTTNAGTATAAAAATCAAACGAATATTCATATTTGACCTGATTATAGTTCATAATGCGTGATCAAAACCGAAAGTTTCTGTGATGAATGCCCTTGTACTGTTCACCATGTAAGAACTTATTCACTATGTAAGAACTTGTTCGTTATACTTCAGAAGATTGGAGACTGACGGGAATTAGGCCTGGGGTGGATTAATGATTGTGCATTGAGCATTGACTCCCCTATACAGAATTTTATTGTTGTTAACAACCATTTGATCAATAAATATGAGAGATGCCTTCTCAAAAAAAAAAAAATACAGTTAAAGCTTAAACAATTTCACAGGCTCAGTTCATTATCACTCAGAAGCCCATCTCTAGAAAAGTAGTGAAAACATGTATACATGCTTGATAGTGGAGTTGACAAGTGTGCTGTATGCCATAATGAAAACTGACTTTCTGTTACTATTGGTAAGCAAGAATGAGGTTTCAAAAACTAGACATAAGCTATCTGACTTGTCCATTCTTCAAAGGCCATTTGTCAGATTCCAACAAAATGCTCATTATCTAAAATATGACAATTCTGAAAGTTTGATATTGACAACAAAATAAAGACATTATTAACAAAAAATAAGAATTCTTAAAACAAGCATGAATTACATTCCTACTACTTCCTACTTATGTTTATGCATGTGATCAGGTTAAACTTCTGGAAAATATAACAAGTTGATATGAATTCTTAAAAAAGCACTTGGTATTTATTTAAATCAAGGTGACTTACAATTAGCTTAAATGAGCTAACTAAAACCCAAACTAGTATTTTAGAACAAGATGTTTAGTGCTGTCCCATTGACATGGTACACGGGGAGCAGGATAGTTGTTAATAATGTAGCTAATTTTTGAAAGTAATTCAGGTTTACTCTCCAAGATTAAAACCCTTGAAGAAGGAAAAAACAAAACCATTTTTAACCAAAAAAATCCAAAGTATATTCATATTTACCTACCTTCTAAAGCAAAATAATCTTTACTTCAAATTTTAGCCTCTACCATAAAATCACTTATTAAGTTAGGTCTGCAAACATTATTGAGCAAGGCAGGTCATCTATGTGCCTTTACACTATGTAGCACTAGACTATTTTTCTAGTTACATCTAAATATCGTAGTTCTTCTTTCCATTAGGGCTGATATTGTGTCCCTCCTGCCAGTTTATAATCTGTGATGCATTGGGAAACCCATCACACATATAGCCTGTTAGGGCTTGTGTCCAAAAATAAAGCAAGTTATCGATTTAGGTGAAAAAGCTACAACGAAGTACCTCCCTTAGGATGAAAAACCACTTATTTTGGGCAGACACTGTAACTAGTTTACACTCTACATACACTGGATGGGAAAGACACTGAGCTGTGAGCTTGTGTAGCCATGCTAACAATGAGATACTTATTTTCACTTTGCCTACTACAAAAGATTAAATTTTTAGTAAAATGTAATTGGATAATGAAAGCTCTCTAATAAAATTAATCTCACTTAAGCAATACAGTTTTTACAGTAATGAGAAAGTATTATAAAACACTAAGAGAAATAAAGCTCACAATCTTAGTTTCTCTTGATATGAAAACCAGCTCAGTACACAAATAGTGAGTGAAATACACTTCTGTTAATCAAAACAAAAATATGACTTAAGTTCTGCAGATTCACACTGAAAAGAAAACCTGGGGAAAACAAACACAAAAGGACATCCAGCTTCATGGTATTTAAAAAATACCCCTAAGAATTACGTGGGTTTTAAAGAGATCAGGAACTGACTCTCCTTGTAAAGCATATTTTCCATATATTTATATATTTAGTACAAATATATAAACATATTAATAATGTAAATATATTGAGTAAATATATATATTCAAATATAAATATATATTATAAATTAAAATAAATATTTAGTACTTCAGAAATATATTTTCTTTCCTTTAGTACTTCAAAACGGAGAGAACAGGAATAACTGAAATTATTATATCTGATAGTTTCTTTCATTTCTAAATCTACATTCAGTAGCTTCATTAGCAACTCAATAACCAGACACTTTCTCACAACTAAAAGACTGCGTGGTACAAACTCAGTGTTCCCAGAGCTCTTTCCTCCACAAATATAAAGGACAAAATCTAATGTTTTAAGAAAACAAAAAGCATACAAAATTATCTCCCTAAATATCTCAATCTCTAATATCAAAATAAAAAACTACAAAGCAAATAAATCAATTTCAAATTTTCTCATAAAAACTGAAAATAATGAAAAGTAATGTCACTGCTAAACATAGGTATCTTAAGAGAAAACAACTTTAAGGAAAACTATTAAAAAATGTTTTAATCTGTTGGCAATCATGATCTTCTAATACCTATCAATCTTCAGTAGCTCTCCATGCGTTGAACTTAAAAATAAATATAAACATATAATGGGAGTGTTTACACGAAACCACTTGATACCAAGGACATAACCAAACAGCCACAAATATGTAAAAGAACCAAGCAGGGAATAGTGTATATTCAGTAAGTCATTCAGTATAATGTATTTTATAGGTTTGCATATGCAAACCTCCTTGGTGGGTCAAATTGCTTTTCTGTAGATTTTAATTACATGCCCTAAGTAAAATGTGTGCCTGTTTCAAAGAACGTAGTGTATTCTTCAAAGGCATGTGGAAATGAGTTAATGCTGGGTGACTTCCTTCAGCAGTGCATTTTCTTCAGAAACACTATTGCCAATTTAGTTTTTAGTATTTGCAGCAACTTCATTCCTAAGCAGGGGTAACATTCCCCTGCCTTTCCAAAAAATTCACAAAATCACTTTTCCTTACAACCCAGCTAATCAGTATGTAGAGAATATACACAATTCAATTATTTTATGGAAATTAAATGATTATGCTACAAAACATAAGAAAAATTTATGAATGAATGGTTAAGTAAAAAGGGGCACTCTGTCTTACAATGTCCCCAACCAAGATCTGGTCACCACAGTTGGTTTTTCTTTGTGAGTAAAAATAAATTTGAATTTCTGAAACCTTTTTAACAGCAGAAGGTGGTCCCTAGAATAATACTGGACGGCATGGAAAAAGGTCACTGATTATGCAGATGATGCATATGGTAATTACCAGATGATAAATGTGGTAAATACAAACTACAAAGGATATTCACGTATCAAATACAAATTTTTTCTTTTCTGATTACTGATGCTAATACTTCCTTCTCAGTGTGTATTAAAAAAAAAACCCACTATTTTCCCTTGTTTGTCTGAAAATTCATACAGCAAGGAAGCAATTTAACTTCTACAGAACTAAAAGAAAATGTGAAGAGTTTTGCTTACATTAAAAACATATATTTAGATAATTATTGGGGTGTTTATCTAGCCTGCCAAACACTAAAACAGATTATGTAGTCATTTATCTTATGCATTATTAATGGTAACTGTTTGGTAAGTGCTCATATGTTATTGTTATAAGTATTAGATGCAATGTCTTCTAATTACAGAACATCTAATGCTTTTTAAACATTTTATGCCATTTGGTTGAAACAGAATACAGATTGAGATAAATCAATTCTTCCTTAGAAACACTAGATCTGAAATCTGATCTACACCTATCTCAAGTTAATTAGGGGAAGAGAGCTGCAGCAGAATATATTCATCATACAGATGATCCAACGAACTGAATTTAGATATATTTCAGACATTAAGTTCTGCAACTCCAAGTATATTTAAAAATACTAAGTTTATCTCAAGTCTACCATTAGGTAAAGAATTTCAATACTAGACTAACATACCATTTCCTCATGTGGATGTTTGAGCTAAACATAATCCTGTTTTCATTTACATTTTCTTGAAACTTCATAAACTTTAAGCAAAAGCCAGAAATCTTAGTAATGTTATATGTTTGCCAAGTATGTCTGAATAATGCCAACATAAGAGGTGCTTGAGCAAGATCTACATTCTCCAGAATTAAAACAAAACAAAAATACTCAAACAATAAAAAAGAAAAGCACATGAATTTGGGATTGAGGTTGGAATAGGAGACAGTTTCAGACCTGGTTTAATCCTGAGAAAGATGGGTCCTGAGAAGTACTAACAGTCATGCTTCTTTTCCTCTTCCCCACTGGAGATTCTAAACACTAAACAGACAATAGAGGGTGGCAGTGCATCAAACAGTATTGCTTACATTGCAACAATGGCCGGCGCAGACAGGCAACACCGAGGCATTAGAGAAAGAACAGGGTAGCCAAATGCCATCCTTCTTCCACCAAGCACTATAGCTTCTCAGTTTTCCAAGTAAGAATCACATGCTCAAGAACATTTGAATTCTGGAAAATACTCAGGTTTTTAATGCCACTATACTGTGCCACTGCCTGAATCAGGGATAGCAATGGTGACATTTGGCTCTTTAATTTTTTAATCAAAAATGGGAAATTTGGATCTGCAATCTTTGGTAACACAATCTGCCCTTTCCCCCAAAAAAGACTGTACAATGGAAAAAAATCTTCAGTAAGGAAGAGGTAGAAGGCATTTAGTCACCTTAAAATTTATTTTCATAAGCATGCAGGACTGATTACTGGAAGAGATGAGCAAATTCACTAAGATTGGAGTGGCCACTCCTAAATATCAAATTCAGAACAGTCTTTCAGATAAGAAATTTGACTTTAAAAATCAACCTCAAAAGCCCCCCAAAACTTTTTTCTCATGAATAGAAAACTACTGGAACAAACTGACCAAAGAATCCAGTCTCATACAACTGGCATTTTTCAAACTACAATACAGAAAACACTAAAAACCAACTATATATATATATATATATATAGACAAAATACTAATCTAAAATAATGTTCAAGAACAACATTTAGAATCTGAATCTTAGTTAAGTAAAACACTGCACTTCTACCCTCGGGTCTCTCTCCATCTGTGTAACAGCAACCAGCTCCACAGTATTTTTTCACCTCTCTGAAGAGGACACAAGATACTAAAAAAAAGGTCTGCCACACTGGGCAATTTGGACTTCCTGACACAACTATGTAATTAAACAAGATATTTGTAAGGGGGAAAAAAAGCAAAGAGGTAACTATTATCTAGGCCATCATTTATTTTTAAGGCAAAAACCATGTACTGCAACATCAACATGCAGAACAGAGATCTCATGAAGATTAACGGGTCTTTAGTGGGGAAGAAAATGGGAAGGAGAGGGCTGGGGGAACAGCCAAAAGACTAGGGTTAAACTTACAAAACTGCCCCAAAAATTAAGACCAGTAAAATTTTTTCCAATTACCAGGTTTTACATTATCAATTAAGAACCCGGATGTGTCAAAGGGAGAAGCCACATATACTTTTCTAAAACTGCAAGTTGGGAATGGAAAGGTAAGTTATGTGTAGATTTAAATGCCTTTCATTGCTTAAAGCTCAGCTTTCAACAAAAAAATTTAATTTCCTAAAACGTGGTCAGACCAATATCATCTCACACATTAACAAAAAAACACCAGTTCTAATGGTAATGGCTCCAAGTTGGCATTCATACAGGCAAACAAAGGTAAACATTTAAAGCTAGATCTAAAACCACCAAACATTTCCTAATGGTAAATTTAATAAAACATATGGGAATCTTTCTTCCAAAAACAGAACTAAAAACACAAAAACCAAAAGCCCCCAGTTGTCCTGAAGTTGAGAATTTCTATCAGATCATCAGATCGGAACATGCTTAGTGCATTGCCAATGCTGCCTGTCTGCCCGAGCTCAACAGTGAATCAATACATAAAGCAAGTCACTCAATAAAACTAATCATTGCGGAAAAGATTTCAACACAATTAGTTTCTAACTGCAATCATGCGTCACTAGCTAAAACCCAATCACCCCCTTAAGATCATTCTGAGACCCCAATTAACACTGATTTTGTTAGGCAAATGTTCATTTCATTTGACTATTTTCCTTTGAAAGGGGGAGGATGGGTAAAACCACCCAACTTGGCACCCAAGTAAGAAACTGTCGGCAGCTTTTGTAGCAGGCCCCAAAATTATCCTTTTGAATACACAAATTCAAGGACTGAAGAATTCTCATTATCAACCATGCTCAGTCAGCAAATGTTAACGCCATGGTGACAGATGGGTCAGTGGCTCCCACGCTGGCACAAGCACAAATTATTACAGAAACCCAAACTTCAGAGACAAAGGTTAAAATCTAATTTTAGCATTCAGGAAGAAAAGTATATGGGGTTCTTTCACTATTCGAATGAATGGAAAAACAGACAGAATTGTTGAATAAGTAACAAGTGACTACATAAAGCCCTTGGGAGTTTTATATCTCCATATAGATAAATAACCTTGGTTGGTTAAGTTGGAGAGAATTTATTTCAAGTTACTACGTTAATAGAGTTAGCTGATTATCCTTCTAGTACAATCTTTCAAAGCAATTATCCATAGCAAATTCAATTTACTATGACTTTTTAAAGATTGGAAGTTTACCAAAGCAATTATTGGTATTTTACTCTTTGTTCTTTCATGCAAAGAACATTTGACTAACCTTATTACAGTGACGCCCAATACCCATTAGGAAGTTATCTGGTTTAATGTCTCTGTGTATAAAATTCTTTGTATGCACATATTCGATTCTACTGATCATCTGGAAAAAAAAAATAAGGGAAGAAATAATTAAGTGATGAAAGAAAACAACACAGTAGTTCTCAATTATCTTTAATAATTTTAGAGTTCAAAAAGACAGTGCAACACAAAACTAAATGAGAAGAGCAACCAGCATCTCCATTTCTCTCTAGATTGATGGGGAGATCTAAGCATAAACCTGCAGCATACTGTGGCTTATTTTTCCAGTAATAAGAACAGTAACATAACAGCATGTAATCTGATGGGAAGAGTTGGTTCTTACAATTAAATTTATAAAGTACTAAATTTAGAGTTGTTTCAGTTGTAATACAAATTATATAAAGCAAAAAAAGCTAAACCACCACTTTCCACCTCCAATCCTATGCCCCTGGAGGTGACCTCTTTTAAAAAGCCTGGTGTTACCTGGACTATTTCCATGCTCTTATACATATATGCTTGGGGGTACGGAATGTTGACCAACTGATAGACACAGCCATATGTTGTTATTTTAAATTTAAATAGAAGCACCCTATTCACTTCATTCTTGTTTGCTTTTCACAAAACACATCCCAAACATTCCTAGAAATTGGTAGCATACAACATAAGCATATAACTTCTATATGAATGGAGACGTATACATGCTGTGTTCCTTTCCTCATGCTCTTCGGACTCTCCCTTGTTTTTTCTACCTTACTTATGCATTCTTTTTAATGATTACAATTATTATATTGTACAGAATTTAAGAATTCCCCAACAATCCCCAACTCCTAGTATTCCTACTATAAACAATAATGCTAATTTAAATATACCCTACCTAGTACTGCTTTTTATTTCTATGGGCTATAAATCCCATACAATTATAGGGAGAGTTGCTGGGCTAAATGGTATATTTTTCATTTGGATAGGTGCCATCAGACTGCCTTTCAAAATAGGCTACAACAATTCATTTTTCCAGCACTAGTATTTTAGAGTATTCTTTTTCCCACTAGCAAAGTTACTTTAGTTCTAAACTTTGCCAGTCTGATAGGTACTGACCTCACTTGCACTTCTCTAACACTTACTTTGGAAATCTTTGGGTCATTTGGATTTTCTATTATATGAACTGTCTGTCAATGTATACTTTTTGTCCACTATTCTTTAGGCTTACCCTTTTCTTGCCAATGTTTAAGAATTCCTTGCATACAACAGTTTTTATCTGCCATTTGTTATGTAAATAGATTAAAATTTTTTAAAAATCTGCCTTTTAACTATTTATGGTATCTCTTCTATAATAGTTTCAATTTTTAAATTATCAAGGATGTCTATCTTTTCTGTATGCTTAGAAGTTAATAGTTGAAAATATTTTACACATCCAAAGACTGCCAATATTATCTTTCTACCCACATGTTCTTACTCTTCTCAGTAGTGTGTGTCAGGATTCTATTTTTTATTTGTCCCCATTTTCCCCAGAGCTTTTATTACCATGGATATACAGATTCTAAATCTTAGTTCTCTACCTTGACAAATATCTTTTGAAGCCAATTCTGTAATCTCCAGCTTAAACTATTTATACTCTCAAGGAAATAAATATGTACAATGTTTAAATACCATCTTTAGGTACAGCAACAACTTGTACATGAAAGTAAAACAAAACACTGGACTCACATATTTGTCCTAGCTAAGTAATACCCATCATTAAACCATGACTATTAACTCACTGGGAAAAGGTCAGGCAAAAGATAATCAAATGACACAAAGTACAGACTAACTACTGCAGGTGTTGACCATCATCTATAGAGCACAACACAGGTGTCAGCTCCTTAAACAAACGCTATCCTACAACTCCCTTCCCTGAATTACACTCTTTTTCCTGTTACCAGTGTTCCCAACGTAGGGTTTTACACAGAACCTTGAACATATTATAACATTTTTCTCTACTAAACTTTATGCTCCTAGAGAAAAAGGACTAGTTCTTATTCTTCTTTGCACACCACCCCCATCCTGGTGGTGACCAAGTACAGTGGCAGGCCCTGAATAAATGTTCACTATATGAATGCCTATAGTGTTACTAAGCTTACAGAAGATAATCTCTTTTATTAGGATTCACTCACATATTAGTCAAAACAAATTAAACGGTTTTTAAAAATCTTTTTAACCTTTTGATACTTGAGTTCATAATATGCCATAAACAGAAGTTATCTGCTAATTACTTGAACTACTCAGTTTATGTTAAGCTTAGATACCCCATCCTTGATTATAGAAAATTAGCACTACTTTCTAATCCTTTGAATTTATACTTCCTAAAATTCTTCCTCAAATGCCAGTTCATCACTCATTTTTTTTTACTTTATTATGACATCCAATCTATATTTTTAAAACGTCATTCTCTTCCACAGAACTTTCATAAACACAGTTTAACTTGAAGCATTTCCAGCATTTTCCTGCCCTTAAATGGAAGAGCAAATCCTGACCAAAATTTAATATTGTAAATGCTCTGGCATTTACCTATTATCTTTTACTATATGTTTCCTCAGGTTTGTTCCTGATCCATTCCCCCTTCTTTTAATTTTTTAGAACTAGTTTCCTTTCCTAAAATAAAAAATTCTAAGCTCTGCTTTAAAGTAATTTAATCCAACCTCTAGACAGTACATGAATCTAATACATGGTATCTCAAAAATTTCCCTAGTTTTGCTTAAGTAACTACCAATCGCTGAGAATCCAATACTTCGAGAAGCATCTACTTGTTCAAAAATCCTTATTTCAGTACTTTATTTTCCTCAAAAAATATAGCTCTTAGAAAGGTTACATACTTAATACAAAGCACTGTTTGCTTAATTTAACCATAATATGCATATATATATTTATTTATACGTACACTCATACATACACTCTGAACCCTTTCTTCAAACATTATCTTGTAAGTTCTTTATAATCTTATAAGGAAACTCACCATATTCATCACTAAAATGCACTCTATCTGATGGAGCAGCTTGAAAAGTACTAGTCTACAGGTGACAATAAACCTAAATCTGTTTTTGTCCTATAACCACAGGAAAACATTCACAGATCATATTAGAGTAGTACTTGAATGACTACACCCTACTATTATGTCTTTTTTTGCTGATCCCAAAGTTAAATAGACACAGGATCATAATTCTCTGGTTTATAAACTTTTAAATTACAGTTACTAGTAAACAGCAGAATTCTCAGTTTTTTTCTCTTCAAAAGTTCACATACCTGGTCAGCTAACATAAGTACAGTTTTCATTGTGAACCTTCTTGAACAGAAATTGAAGAGGTCTTCGAGGCTGGGCCCAAGAAGATCCATGACTAGAACATTGTAGTCTTTTTCCTGACCATACCACCTACCAAAAAGAAGGCAAAAAGGAAAATTATGAAAAGCTGATTATCACTTAATGTCACCAAATTAAAAAAATTCTTAATCCCTTAGAACAAGATCGTTTTCCTTTTCTGTTTATGTTTTATTTAAGTTTCCCTCTATTCAGATGATGAACCCACTAACTATACCACCCCGACACAAAATAAGAGTAAGGGGACTTTTTCCTTTTGTCAAGTGACCCCACTGTCCTATTGAGAAAGGACTTGCATGGCAGCCTTAACACTCTTCTTACCAGAGTAGCCAAATTCTATACTCATCTGCCACAGATTCTTGTGACAGTGGGCAAGTTCCTTAATCTCACCTGGTCGTACTTTCTAGCTGAAAAAATGGAGACTATTTGCCATTCTAAAAGGTTTAAGAAAGCAAAGATCCCTCTTATTACAACTCCTGTCCCATTGCCTACCAAGTTCTACTTAATCAATAATTACTTTTTTTTTTTTAATAAAGGAGTTATATTTTTGCTTGGTCTCAAATTACAGAAAACAACCAGTATTACCACAAATATGACTTTGCTTTTGATTATTTTAATTATCCCATGCTGTATTACTGTGGATAAATGTACACTTTGTCCCCAAAAGCTCAAGGAATATCAACGGCTAATTTCAGAGACTTCAAAGAGTGGGAATTACTGCAGTAGGTGATTCCAAGTTTCTGTATACATACAGAAATCTGGTAAGGGTATTTCCCTAAAAATAAGTACTACCATTTTAATTTCAATCTTATCTAGATTACAAATTTTGCCTGAAAACTGGCCATTATTTTAAATGTAAAAAAGAAAAAAAGGTGAGCTATTTTAATGCTAGCCTGGAGTGATTTGTTAACTCCAATAAGAACTGATACCAAAATATACTTCTCAAATAAAAACATATTTGAGAAATATACGTTCTTAAAATATTCAAAGGGGGAAAAATCTTTAAGAAAAAAAACTGTATCCAAGGCATTATTAACCAGTATCAGTCTAGCAGGAAACTATTCACTGCTTTTAGTGTTACTCTTCTAAAAATTTGCTCTAACATTGTTTTACTGATATATGCCAATTAAAAGAAAATCAAGATTAAAGCTAGCGTATGGGGATTTAATACTTTTTCTAGAAAATACAAGATTAACTACTATGTGTGGTCCCGTATTTAGATGGAATGAATATGGCTCCCTGCAATCTTATGTTGAGAATAAAAGAACACAAGGGGACTTAACATTTACGTGAAAGCAAAGGTCATAGTGGCGGGTTTTTGAGGGTGGGGTTTAGGGTAGGCATGGGAGGAAGTAGATAAAATATAACAAATAATATTAAAGGTAAAAGGGAAACAAAGTAGACAGGTTATACTCTCCTTTTTCTTCCTCCTGAATTGCAGAGGCAAATCTGTGCTAATTTACCTAGATTTTAAAGAAAAAGAAATGACTCTATACAGTAACACTAAATACAGAGAGCTAGGGCAGTGCAGTGACACAAAGGCACAAAAGTCAAAGATGAAAGGGAAAGCATAGACCAATTATCATAAGACCATGTATCTCTGCATCAACAGATTCACACCACTGGCTTGCTAGCAAAACTACAATAAATAAGCAAGTCTTTCTTTTTTTAGTTTCATTAATTTACAATTACATGAGAAACATAATGTTTACTAGACTCCCCCCATCACCAAGCACTCCCCACATACCCCATTAGTCACTGTCCATCAAACAAGCAAGTTTTACAATCCATCTAAATGCAAACACAAATCTGAAATATAAGTCACAAATCCATACTTTGTATCTTCATACAATTCACACGTGATTTCATAAAGCACTTTTGAGAAATCATCTGCAAAATAAGCCTTTACCAGAATCTTCCAATAATTAGAAACCAGGGAGAATTAGATTAACTCAGAAACACACTTTTTAAACAAAAATCAAGTTATTGGGCATTTTTCTCCTTACTTGTTAAGTGTATAAGACATATCCACTACTCTCAATGTAAAGATAAATAGTCTATAAAAAGCAGCCAGAATATCAATGTTTCAAAAGGATTTTTCTCCATGGAGCAACTGCGCATTTCTGAAATAATTAGGTCTTTCTGCTGTATAGAGATTGGTACTATAACTTCTCAACCCTAAATGACAGGTGTTTCCATCTTTCATACTTTCTTTTGGTCTCAAGAAATACATAGTCTATTTCTCTAAAGCTAGCACCTCACACCCTCCCCACCTGTGCTTTCCACCCGTCTTAACTCCTGCAGATAGATATTATTCTACACAGATTAGGAGCTCAGAAGACTCTTCTCCTATCCAGAGTCTACTTACTCAGTTTCTATCTACACTCACCTCCATGTTTTCTGTTTCTATTCCAAGAGCATGTAACTATTTTCAGTCCCAAGACCCTAACACCAGATGCCAAAGAATTGTTTCTTACTTAATAGACTCCCATATTCGTCTCCCATTTCACAGAATTCCCATAGCCATTAACTATGCTTGTATCCACAATCTAACTCCTTGACAATACAATATTCAGGTACTGTTACTTTGGTGTTCCTATCTCTGTATCTGGTAGGATAGAGCTTACTGGGGTTTTTTGTTCCTTTTTTTAAATAGTCTTCAAGGAATCTGAGTAATGAGCAGGCACTTACTTAATTCTCTGAGATCATTTTAAGTTTGCAGACAACCTGAAACATACCAACATGGAAACCTCACACCTATTCTCTACTTTCTAGGTACCTTTAGCCTGGAACTCAGGTCATCTTTAACAATTTTTATGTGAGTGAGTACGACTTTGTATTGCTACTAATTACACAGTGGTAAAGTGATGTGCACAATATAGGTACTAAGATAAACATGAGATAAAACAAAGAACTCTGGTATGATTTGGAGTTCCTCAACTGTCCTAACAGTTCTTAAAACATGCAGAAGAATCAAGTAATTTAATGGATGTAAGTAAAAAAAAAAAAAATGTCAAGGGGGCTCATTTTCCATTTGTTTCAAATCAATGTCTTCGGACCTAGTGTTGCCTGACCAATCAAGGAAGTAAAACTGAAGAATGAGTTTGCAATTTATACAACCATCACTACTCACTTAGAAAGTAATGAGAGGTACCTTAAGGTCTGAAGAAGATGCTAAGGCAAGATCCATCTCCCTGCTCTCAAATCCTTTCCTCTAAAAACCATATCCAAACTAAACCTCCTTTAAAAATTAAGACACACACCCACAAGCTGCTGCTCCCTCTCTCTGGGGCAGCCATTTTCTCTTTCAGATAATAAAATCTATTGCATGGGAAAAAAAAAAAAATTAAGACACACATAAAGAGCACAACTGTATGATAAATGCACAAGTCATTCAGGCTGACAAAAAAATGCTAAGAGAATTGAGAAAACCAAAAAAATCAATGGGAACTAAACCTGCCAAAGAAGCCTTATGAAAATGGTCTGTGTTGCCAATCAGACCCTGGAGGAAGGATCATATTTTAATAGAGATGCAGAAAAGGGTGTGGTAGGGTTGTGCTAGAACAGACTATGGGGGCTTCTACAGAGGGGAGAGCCAAGGCAGCTGATCATTTGGGGCTATATTATGGACTCTTGAGTTCCAGGCTAAAGGGCACTGAATTTTATACATAACTTGGGGAACCATCAGTAGAAAGTGGCTAAGATATAATGTAATTAAACCAATACTTTGGGGCTAGCCTTAGCAGTATGTAATACAGAAATCAGGGAGTAGGGGAAGGAGTAACAATGACATTTGGAGATCTGAAGCTAGGGTTGTCTTTTCTGAGAAAATGGCTGTATCTTAGGAAAGAGACTGAGTGACTGAAGTGAAATATTTTAAGTACTGCTATGAAGCCAAAGTACTTCCAAGAACAATAAACCAGTGTAATTATCATAAGTATGCAGTTCAGATTAAATATTTCCATCCCTATGCATATACCAATAGGAAGAGAAAAAAACATCTATTTAATGTGGGTCTTCCCCTTTAGACTACCAGCTTGAGAGCTGTGATGGTTCATTTCATGCATCAATGTGACTGGGCTAAGGGATGTTGGGATAGATGGTAAAACATTATTTTGGGGCATGTCTGTAAAGGTGTCTGAAGATTTCAATAATAAAAACAACTAGCATCTGAATGATAGATTAAATGGTAGAGATCACCTTCCAAATGTAGGCCTGAATAGAATAAAAAGGGAACTGAACAATAACAAAAAAAGGCAGGGGAGGGGAAAATTCACTCTCCTAGAGCTGGGGCATCCATCTTCTCCTGCCCTTGGATATCTGTGTTCCTGGTTCCAGGCCTTAGGACTCAGACTGGGAGTTAAAGCATTAGTTCCCCTGGTTCTTAGGCCTTTAGGCGTGGACTAGAATACCACTGATTTGTACAGTGAGGAAAACAAGGAATACAAAACACTCCCTACACCCTGAAAATATGAAATCATCAGGAAGGATCTACTCATCTTTTATTCAACTCAGCCAAGCAGTTACGAAAGTTTAAAAGTAACAGTTTTAACAGATGTGTCTTTTCCTACGCCATTTATCTTCCTGTCTATAAGTTATTAATGTCAGTCTTCACCAAACAACTACAAAGCATAAGGACTGAATCAGTGCTATAATATACTCACTTTCATTGCATCCACATTCTCTACACATGGTCTCTCAAACCTAGTTTCTTGCCAATTCATCATCATCCAACCTTTAAATTCTCTATGAGCATAGAAAATAAGGCCCTGGTCCAGTACATTCTTGCTAAACTCTTAAGCACTAGTTCAAATTACCCTGGCCTACTGCTAACAATTCCAGCCACATTGTTCTCTTTTGTTTGAATTCTTTTTAATATTCCCATACATTAATATTTATGTGAACCATTCGTAACAGCACAATTTTGCCATTCATAAGAGATACATATTCTTAAAATTATAGATACCCATTCTTGCCATCCTTAACCAGCATCCAAACTACCATGGATTAAAGAAATTACCTACAGGCAATTCTTGCTTATCTTTTCCTATACC